GGCCATGGCAAACCTCCTCTGAACAAATCTTGCCAAGAAAACCCCAGGCATGATAGGTTCATGCCCATGATAGGATGCATGAGAGGGAACCCAGTGGGTTTCATGGCCTTACGGTTGCCATAAGTCAGAAAGGAGTTGAAGGCACACAACAATAACAAAGCCCCAGCTGCCTCTCTGCTCTACAACCCTGCTTTGGGTTTTCCATTAGAGGTCTGGGCACAGGCAAAAAATTTGGCTTCTTTCGAACCCATCTGACCCACATTCTCTTGTGCCATTTTGGAGCAAAGGAAGAATGGGATGGGGCAATTCCTTGCTGCGATTGCAAAAATAACCCAACGATAAAAGGTTATTTTCAATGCAAAAGCAAAGAGGCATTGATAAGATCAACTGATGGTTTTTGATGCATCCATCCCTTTGGGGAAAAAAATCATTATTATTATTATTATTATTATCTCCCATATTTTTGTTTATCTTAAACGAAACTTAAAAGAGGAAGCAGGGGACGGGATGCATTTGCTGCCACTTCGGGCCTCATGTTAAGCAACCAAAAAATCTGATAATGGAAAAGATGACAAACCCCAGGGGTAACTGATCTCTTTTATTATCACCATAAAAGCATTTGAAGCCCTTAAAAGGACATTTTTTGTTTCTGCCAAAGACTCCGACTTGTAAAACTCCCTTGCAGACTTATCTTGCCAAGGGAGCCATAAGCTTTGCAATGAAACATCCCTTGCAAAATATAATCAAGAAGTTCTCAGTAGATGAAAAAATCACTCTGTTTCAAAGGCCAGTGGGAGGATATTATTATTATTATTATTATTATTATTATTATTATTATTATTATTATTATTATTTTATACAAGGTTACTGACAAAGATCTTTTCTTCTTCTCACACGGATCTGTGCCATATAGAACACAAAATAATGACATTAACACATATTAATTTAGCTTCCAACCCTTCAGATCTATTTGTTCTATTGCTTATTTATCTTGATAATATTCCATCAAAAATCCTTGGGTATTAATTTGGATATGAGTTGTGCAGAACCAAGTTCACATGGGGAGGCTTAAGATATATTATTGAAAGGAAGGAAGGAAGGAAGGAAGGAAGGAAGGAAGGACGGAAAGAAAGAAAGAAAGAAAGAAAGAAAGAAAGAAAGAAAGAAAGAAAGAAAGAAAGAAATGCAGACAAGCAAGAAAGGTAACTGCAAATGCTCTCTTGTCATGAGCCTTCAAGTCAGTTCCTAGGCTAAGATTTGTCTTGGCAAGATTTGTTCACAGGAGGTTTGCCCTGGCCTTGCTCTACTAAGGCTGAGAGAGTGTGACTTACCCAAGATCCATCCGGTGGTTTTCCAGGGCTGAGTGAGGATTTGAATCCTGGTTTTCCAGAGTCCAGCATACAGACCTCTACACTACACTGGCTTCTATATGGCAACCCTACAATTGGGTTTTCAAGGCCAGATTTATTCGAAGGAAGTTTGCCATGGCTTTCCTCTGAGGCTGAGAGAGTGTGACTTGCCCGTGATCCACCCAGTAGATTTCCAGGGCTGATTGGGCATTTGAACCCTGGTCTCCCTGAGTCCGAGAGTGCATCTACACTGTAGAAATAATGCAGTTTGACACCACTTTAAGTCCTGCTGTGCCATCCTATGGAATCAGAGGGTTTATAGTTTTACAGGGTCCTTAGCCTGCTCTGCCAAAGAGTGCTCTGCCAAACTACAAATCCCAGGGTTCCCTAGGATGGAGCCATGGCAGTTAAAGCGGTGCCAAACTGCATTATTTGTACAGTGTAGATGCACC